TTCCATGCTAATCACTGTTCTTTTCTGGCTCCAAAGTTCCCAGAGCCTGGAGCTTCTTCGTGACTCAGGAGTTTTCCACCCATGCTGATAGCTAAATTCAAGGGCATTAGGAGCAATAATATCAAATTAGTGCCAGACCCAGGGTTCTCCACCCAGTAGCCCCTGAAGGAGATCAGTTGGCTGCTCCTCTATTAGGTTTCCTGCCAGAATAAGAATTTAATTAAGAAGGGGGAGGGCACCAAATACAATCTGCATCAAATGTTGTTCCTCGTGGAAACTATTCAACAACTTGCTCATTGATGTAATTGCTGTAGCACACATTTTGTAATTAGAAGACTTTAAATGACGAAAATACTTTTCTTAATTTAGTGCTGGGTCTTTTCAGGTTCTCACTTGTGTTTTTTTTGTCTTAAGATGCAAAGCAAAATGGGCTCAAATATACTTTGGCGTAGCTGAAGTCACTGCAGAAACTGTTGAAAGAGCATTTCGAAAATTCCAAGCAATAGTCAAGAATTTCTGTAGTTTTTTTTTTTTTTTTTACTTTCCAAAAGATCTAGTAGATTTTGTAGCACTGATTCCATGTAATTAGTAGAGCTCCATAGAACGATTACCCACACTCAAACAAAAGCTAGGTTACATGCATTAAGCTAACTGTACTTAATTTCTTTTGGGTTTGTCTTTTTAGAATCACATCTAAATTTTTATATTGGATTATTTTTGTGATAATCTTAACAGTTCTAAATTTAGAATTTAAATAATTGAATCCTGTATTTGTTTATGTAGTCTTCAAAACAGTTTAGTTAAGTTTTACCATATTGTTAAAATCAATTAAGTGGCTTAACTTTTAAATAGAAGATAGAAGTTGTAGTAAATAATGCAGATTTCTCCTAGAGCAGTAGTCCTATCCTCCAAAGTTAACAGGATAAATACTTCTGTCCTCTGACTACAAAGGAAGCCTATGTGACTAGTTTGGGCAAGAAACCTAGTTAAGGTAGCTAAATGAACTGAATCTTACCCTAAGAATGTAGCCTACAAGGACTTTGTAAAAAATTCCTCATCAGGTGTAAGAATATAGAAGTATCATTGAGATATTTTTGTTACATGATGGGATGGAAAGCCATTGCATGTGGAATTTTGGAAATATTTCAGAAATGGTTGTAAGAGAAGATTGATAATGCTGGTGGGAAAAAGGCCCTTTTATTAACAGCAGCGGATCAGTCTCACACCTTTATTTCAGTTTGTTGTGTTGGATAAAAAGCAGGCATGAACATGACCTGTGGATGGCATATTATCATAACCCATGGGCTATGCTGTAAAATGCACTGTTTTATAAACTCCTGGAATGGGTTCATGGAACTTTTTGAAGTAGGTGATTACTCAGAGCCTTCATTAACTTTCCAGCTGCTTACCAAAAATACAACATTTAATAAGGAGAGTGCCCTAGTTCTACATGTCTAGCCTTTACCCTTTCCAAAAGGGAAATTGATATGTCTTTTTTTTTTTTTTTTTTTTTTTTTTTTTTCAAGTAATTTTCCATCTATGGCCAATTCTATTAAAATGGAGTTTTATGCTAAACGGTGAACCATTTAGTTTTAAATACATTTACAATGGCGTGTTAATTTTTCCTGATCATAGAATTTTTTAAAGGAGTATTAGCCTATATATTCTTGGTCTTTTTGAACATTTTATTGCCTAGATTGTAATCTCATCTGTACAAACTAGGAAGAGTGTTTTAATGCAGGCAGGTAGCTCATTGTGAATTGTGGTAGAGGATGTGTTTAAATATTTAAATATTTGCTTACAGGTAGCTAAGTCCAGTTGTAGAAAGCTAATTGCTGCAACAGCATAGAGTCAGAAAATGTACTTGAGCAATGTAATAGGTACTGGGCAGTGGTGAAATAATCGAAGATTGGGAGTTCTTGATCAGAAATTTTGTGTGAGGGCTGAGAAAAAAAGTAGTGACAGGCAATGGTGACATGCTAGAGTTATTTGTACTCTAGAGTGAGGAAAATCTGTACTGGTTGAAAAAAAATAAAAAGAATATAGGCTTCAGACTTCACTAGGGAATAGCAGTGTTTATAATCAGATTTCCTTGATAATCAGATTTCCTTGATTCCTGTTTTCAATAGGAAAACAATCTTAGTTGCAGTATGCCTTTGAGGATGGTAGTCATCTTATGTAACTTGAGCTATCTTTTTTAAAAGCCTCCTCAAATGCAGGGAGAGAGATGAGCTGTGTCTTTCCTTGGTCCTTCTATATCCTTTCCTTCTCCCTTTTGAAAGGAAGTGATGTGACATTTCTTACTTAAGTATATTAGCAAAAACAAGGTCAAACAAAATGTCTTGTATTTGAACAGAGGGTACTGAGGCCTGTTTTAGGTTTAGACTCTCAAACAAGCTTTTGGCTTTCGACAGGTTGCTGAGATGTTCTTTTCTCCTTGCTTACTTGTGATAGTTTCAACAAACCTGATGAATGGAATAGTTGATCATCCTGGATGTGCAGATGAGCTGTTTTAGGTGCAGACCATTAAATGCAAGACCATTTGATGTGAACAATGTAATCTGAGCTCTTGAGGAAGACATACTGTTTTAGTTACAGTTTATATGATGCATTAAAATAATTCCTTTCTGATGGGAGAGGTAGAAACATTCTTCCCTTTGTCAAGCTCAGAGAATTTTTTTTTTTGTAGCAGAAAAAGAAACTTGGGTTTTTCACTGAAATTATCTATTTGGAAATTTGTTTAAATTTCCGAGTATGTGAAACCAATAAATCAGTAAAACTTTCCACATTCTTGAGAGAGTTCTTTAAAGTTGAAACTTTTAATCCTAACTTTGAAAATTTACTATACAATAAAATAAAAAGTAACATGTTTTCATGCTCAGTCTTCTAAAAATGTAGGCTCTCTAATCTGTTTCAAAATGTGCTTTTAGTTTAGTGATTATGGTTATAATTAAGGGACTAGTTAGAAAAACTGTAGCTATAAAGTATAAACATGGCAACCACAATACTTCTTAGAGCAAACTGGAGAGTCTGTATCCAAGTTTAATGTTTTTATGAACTTGCACTACAATGAGATACAGTACAGTTGGTGTTTATTCTAAACAAAAGGAAAAAAAAAAAGTTAATAGTTCTTAAGAATTTGCATAATTGATCAAGACCCACAGGAAAATTGAGGACTGGAGAAATTTTTTATCTCTTCTAACTTTGCTTCTCCTACTTCAGACTAGTTGTGTAGGCTACCAGTAGAGGCTAGATTGCTCACCCATGGCAAATTCCATCTCCCTGTGAGACCTGTCTTAGGGTGAAGATGACTATCTTGTTAAAAATATATTTTGAATGTCTGAATTGTGGCTAACTTTGAGAACTTTATTTGTAGGTGTTGCTCAGAAAAGGGAGCTAACAACTTTGTTTTTCATCAGCTGTTTACAATGATTTAGATTATAGGCCACTGTTTTCTACCTCTTTTAAGGTAAAAAGACAGATTAAAAACCAATACTTGCTTTTTTGACCCTCTCAGTTGGTAATTTTTTTTTAACATACACGTACATCTTTGACTTGGCTAATGGAGAATAAGATGATGATCAGCACTTTCTTGAATGAAGAAACAGTTTCTTTCAGCTGTTAAAAATCAGGATATTGTTACTTAGTGTGATAAAGAATCGCAGTCAAATAGTTCTGGAAAATTGCTAATGCCGCTTTTCTGTTTGGCTGCCTCAGAATTTCAGCCATAGATTCTAGGATAACAACAAGCATCTGACATCCCACTGATTTAAATTTAAAACATCTGTTATGCTACTTTATTGTTTATCTTCTAGTTCCTCTTTAAAACTCTGTTTTCTATAGTACCTACAAAAATCTTGACAATAGTCATATTAAAAGAATGTTAAGAGCTTCAACTTTGGATAGGAGGACAAATAAGATACGGGACTTGTCTCTTCTTTGGTTTCCTCAGAGAGCCAAAAGGGCAGACTAAGTTTCTCACACCTTCTTATATACATTTATCCATCTTCAAGTCAAAAATATGTTGAGAAACAATGTCTTTTCAGCTTGGATCTGCTTGCCTTTACACATTGTACCAGAGAGGTGATGAAATCTTCATCCTTGGAGATGCTGAGACTTTAGACAGAGCCTTGAGAAGCCTCATCAGAGTTGGCTTTGCTTTGAGCACAGGTTGGACCAGATGACCTCTGGAGGTCTCTCCCAATTGAAATGACTCTCTTACAGTCAGGGAAAACAATAAATTCTGTGAAAGTATGGCTGATACTTCCGATTTTCTCTGGAAAGAAAACATAAGTAAACAGTCAACATCAAACAGCATTAAAAAAGGAGCCTGTCATCACTGGAATGAGTCATAAGCCAAGTAACAATACATAAATGAATAACAATGTAATTATGGATGATAGTGTGCTATATATATGCATTTAAAAATGTGCAAACAAATCTATGAACAATGACATTGCATGTGGATGTAATTTGTCTACCTCTTGAGTTTTTTGGCGTATGGTAAGCTATATTTTTTATAGTATTAAATGCAAGTCCCTATTATCAATTTGTTTTCAGCAGGAGTTTATAAACTGAACTTTTCCAGGTGTGACACTGCACTTAACCACATGGAAAATGATAAAATGGTGTGTTACTTTTAATAAGGTAATTGTGGTTTTTTTTTCAGGACCTGCAGAACAACATGGCTATTATCAAATATGAATTTTTTTTTTTTTCTGCTTGGTTTTCTCTCCTTCTGACCCTATTTAATGTATAATTTCAATTCTGATGATCAGTATATTGGATATACAGTATTTAGTTTGAAAAAATGCTTCATATAATAAAGGATGTGTTCATTCTTCAATTTTTGGTGGTGATTGGATTTTTATTTTTTCTATTTTTTTTAAGCTGTTTGTTATTAATAATATCAGATTTCTTCCATCATACTTCAAAAAATGCCAAACAATTTAAAGGATTTAAAAGATCACTTCTGTTTTTTGTTTGCTTTCTCCTTACAGGCCTGGCAGCTGCGATTCAGTCATCTTGTGGGGTATGGTGCCAAATATTACTCCTACCTCATGTCTAGGGCTGTTGCCTCCATGGTGTGGAAACAGTGTTTTGCTCAGGACCCGTTTGATAGGTAAGACCAGAGAAAATATTAAGTAGAAAGAAGTGTCATGCTACTTGCTTCTGGAAAACATGAAACAAATGAGGCCATATAGGTTAATGGCCTTTTTTAGTGACAGTTAGTTTTTAAGCCTTTTTTTTCAGTTTTTAAGAGGATTACAAAACAGGAAATAACCAAAGTATGAAGTGTGCTTTGGGACATGTTCATTGGTGCAAAAAAATTCATGTTGGTGTTTTAAAATACAGGTGTGCCAGTTGGGAGGCACTGAATCCATATTTAGATGTAATTAGAGAGCTTGATTTTCATAGATAGCTAATTAATTGTAATTTTCTATTGAAATCAAAGCAACTGTGGGTATTTAGGCTTCATGTCACCAACTTCAAAGCTAAGTATAGCTATCCTACTTACTTTGCTTTGTGAAATTAAAAGTAAATTGTGAGATCACAAATTGTAAGTATTCTTATACCTTAGCTGAATGTTCAGAGCATTGTAACAGCAGTTCCACTTGGAGCAATGAAAGCTGAAATGTTGTACACAAATTAACTTTTATAAACACCCACACATATTCATATATATAAAATATGTCTAGTTCAGTTACTCATAGTACAATTTTAAATATAATTTGAATTTGAGGAGTCAGTGTGGAATCAAGGCAGTCGTTGTTTCAGGGTGGAAAATTTCATTTGATCTCTTTCTCTGAGTTATGTCAAGATCCTAGAAGCAAATCTGACTGAAAGCTGAACAGGTTGCATTTGCAGATGGCTCTAACATCTGTGTTTCTCCAGGGCAATGGGTGAGCGTTATCGTAGAGAGATGCTGGCACACGGCGGTGGAAAAGAGCCCATACTTATGGTTCAAGGTAGAAGAAAATTAGAACTCTTTTATTTCCTTGCTTAGGGAGGAAATTATTTAACTGCATTTTACAATTTGGTCTTTTTAGTTATGATTTTAATTGGATTTATGAAAGAAACTTGTTAATTTATTTAGTTAAGTGGACTGGTTATCAACTTTGTCATGGTCAGTAGAACTCCTTGTGATATACAGAATAAAAACACACACAGTTGGGGTGAAGTGTTTGAAAGGGTTGTATTACAAGGCTGTCTAAAGAATTCAGAACAAGAGTATCTCTTTCTTGAAGGAAGACAGATGACACCATTTTTGGATACAAAAAATGAGTAACTTTTATTATTAATTCCATGTATGTAAATCAGGTTATTCTGTATAGAAGAATTTGAACTTGTTTGGCCTTGTAATTTTAGCATCATCAAAATAGCTTTGGTTATATCAGTACTTTGAGTATCCATTCTCATGCAATAGAAGTCCGAAGACTCTAATAAAGAAGACTGGAAGTCCAAAGACTGTAATAAAGTTCATTATTCCTCACAATACCATATTTGCCTTTTGAATTTGGAAAACAACTTCTAAAAATAATTCATAGTGATAGCAAAAATACCATACTTCATATATTAAAAAAATAAAGTTTTATTACTCAGGAGAATTAAACAAGTTTGAGAAACTGCTGACATTATCTCAAATCAGGATAAAGACTTTCCTCTGTAATGTTGCAGTATTCAAACCAAACATTTTTGCATTAGTGTAGCTGTTCCTGATATGAGCACTTGGTAAGTACTTCATCTAATGGGACATCTTTCAAGTCGCTCTGAAATTCTTAATATTAAGATGAATATTAATTAATTGGCCTCTGTTCACTCTGGTTTGGTAGACTGGAAATTTTGAGGGGTTTTTTTTCTACAGATAAGGAAGACAGTGGCAATGGATCTGTATTTCACCATGAAATTGGCACAGTTTCATAACTGGAACACTTCAGTTCTTTGACCTATCTGTTTCAATTTGAGGCCATGACCTCTGGTCTCCTTAGACATATTATTCTCTAGATTTCTAGAATAGTCTATTTATATTTCTGATCTACAGGGTTGCTTTTCATTCAGCATGACTTTGCAAACTTGCCTTTCTTTACTGTTCTTGAAGAATCTGTGTTTGTAATTTCAAAAAACTGTAGCCCATATTTGTGGATTAAGTAGTTGCAAGACATGAATATGTATCTTTACAAGTAAATCCAATTATTATATTCTCAGTCATATGGTAGAGAAAGGAAGAATGTTTTTAAATGCTAGTTATGCTTATCTCTTCTATTTCTGGGATGTATTTTTAATTTTACTGAGCATGGAATCTTCCTGGAATGTCCTAGAGGCTATGTTGAAGTTGCTGGCAGTGTGCTTCCTTGAATGAAGTATTATTTGAATGAATTGTGCTAAATTCATCTGTGGATGGGCTTATATAAAATCTGTGGAAGTATGGCTGGCTTTCCCCCTTGCATGTGAGTGAACACTGGAACATGGTACAACTGGGGCTGAGAGTATGCATCAGGTATTTTAGATAAATGTTGCTTCTGAAAAAGTGGCATCTTAGTCCAGGAAATTCCAAGTTTATTTTAAGTTTAAAGGAAATCCAAAGATGATGAAGTCTGGCAAGGTACAGTGTAAGCACACCAACAATTTTAACTTTTGTAATGCAGTAATTAGATGTTTTAAGCATTTCAGTATTCATAGTCCTCATGTTTATAGTCCTTAATTCATTTAGTGCAGATGGTACATTGGTGAGTTGTCAGGACCAATGGTGAATGATGAAGAGGTGATAGCAGTGCAGCTTGGGCTTTGAAGAAGATAGCAAGCTAATCTATGTCTAAGGAATAGTTGTGCATACTGCAGGGCAGTGAACTTGACATTAGTGGTAGAATAATGGGATTTGATGATATGACCAAAAAAAATCTATGTACAAAGATATGTAGTTTTAAAGATACTTAATTTAAATCAGTAAATCCATAAACCACTAAATGGAACTGTGTGTCACTTTAAGGTTAGTAACTGGAGTGTACCTGCTTGGTGTGCTTGTTCACATGTAGTTGGAGAACCAGATAGCAGTAACTCATCTGTGTCAGCATGAGTGATACTAGTGATAAGGGAACAGGCTGGGATTTACAAAAAATGGAAGAAGTTTTAAAGATGTTTTCACAAAATTACAGAATCATAGAATAGTTGAGGTTGGAAGTGACCTCTGGAGGTCATGTAGTCCAACTCCTCTGCTCAAGAAGGGCTTCCTAGAGCTGGTTGCCCAGGACCGTATCCAGATGGCTTTTAAATATCTTCAAGGAGGGAGACTGTGCAGCCTCAAGGTGCAACCTGTGCCAGTCCTTGGTCACCATCACAGGGAAAAAGTGCTGATATTCAGAGGGAACCTCCTGTGTGTCAGTTTGTACCCATTGCCTCTGATCCTGTCACTGGGCACCACTGAAAAAAGCCTGGTTCTATCCTATTTGAACCCTCCTTCCAGGTATTTATATTCATTAGTACAGTTGCCTCTTCTCTAGGCTGAACAGTCCCAGCTCTTTCAGCCCTTTCTGGTGGAAGAGGTGCTCCAGTCCCTTCATCATCTTCATGGCCCTTTGTTGGACTCTCTCCAGTAACTCCATGTCCCTCTTGTACTGAGGAGGCCAGCACTTGAGCACAGCATTCCAGGTGTGGCCTCACCAGTGCAAAGACGAGGGGAAGGATCACCTCCCTTGACCTGCTGGCAATACTGTGCCTAATGCGCCCCAGGATGCCATTCCCCTTCTTTGCAGCAAGGGCCCACTGCTGACTGATGTTCAACTTGGTGTCCACCAAGACCCCCAGGTCGTTTTCTGCAAAGCTGCTTTCTTGCTGGGTAGCCCCCAGCATATGTTGGTGCCTGGAGTTGTTCCTCTTCAGATGCAGGACTTAATACTTCTCTTTGTGAACTCTGTCCCATCATCCAAATCATTGAAGAAAGGCTGAGAGAGTTGGGGTTGTTTAGCCTAGAGAAGAGAAGGCTTTAGGAAGACCTTATAGTGGCCTTCTATTACTTAAAGGGGGCCTACAGGAGAGATGGGGAGTGACTTTTTATCAGGGAGTGTAGTGATAGGATGAGGGCTAATGGTTTCAAACTGAAAGAGGGTAGATTTAGACTAGATATTAGGAAGAAATTCTTTCCTGTGAGGGTGATGAGACACTGGCAGAGGTTGCCCAGAGAAGCTGTGGCTGCCCCTTCCCTGGCAGTGCTCAAGGCCAGGCTGGACGGGGCTTTGAGCAACCTGGTCTAGTGGAAGGTGTCCCTGCCCATGGCAGGGGGGTTGGAACTAGATGATCTTTGAGGTTCCTTTGAACCCAAACCAGTCTATGATTCTGTGTCAAACAGGACTGGACCCCGTATTGATCCCTGGGGTATACCGCTAGTTACTGGACTCCAGCTCCCTCTGAGCTTGGCCATTCAAACAGATTTTAAACCACCTCACTCTCTGACCATCCAGCTCATACCTCACAGCTTCTCTGTGAGGATCCTTACAGGAGACACTGTCAGAAACCTTGCTGAAGTCTGGGTAGACAATACCTATGACTCTCCCCTCATCTACTAGGTCATTTGTTCCATCACATAAGAATATCAAGTTGGTTATGTATGACTTGCCCTTGATGAATCCTTGGTGATTATTCCCGATGACTGTTTTTGTTGTTGTTGTTATTGTTGATGAGCCTGGAAATGGTTTCCAGGATTAGCTGCTCCACCACTTTTGTAGGGATTGAGGTGAGACTGACTAGCCTGTAGTTCCCTGGATTCTCCTTCTTGCCCTTCTTGAAGATAGAAGTGACATTTGCTTTTCCTCCAGTCTTTTGTCACTTCTCCCACTGGCTGTGATTGATGAAAGTTTACTGAGACTTGCCTCGCAGTGCCTTCTGCTAGCTCCTTCAGCACTCATGGGTGCATTGCATCAGGGTCTGTCAGCTTATGTGCATCCAGTTTGCTTAAGTATTCTCTGAGTGGATCCTCTTCCATTGAGGGTACATCTTTCTTGTTTCAGATTATCTCCTTGGCCACTTTTGTATTCTGAATTTCACTTTTATACTCTATGTTTCTTTAATGCTGCTTTAAACAGAAATTTTAAAAGATATTCAAGATCATAAAAATAACCAGAATTCATCAGCAGATTCTTTGCCTGGGCATATGGTGATGTTCATTTGTAGACAGTGCAAAACTTAAGCAAGCATGCTTGAATGAATCCCTGACAAATGAAATTGAGGTGACTCAGTTCTTCTGACAAGTTAATAATTTGATTGTTTGGGATTATTTGATGTTAAATTGTAGAACATGCATGATGGAAAAGCTTAATATATATTTATACTTAATTGCTCTGTATTTATTATAAAAATTGAGAATTTAAGAAGAAAAGAACAGTTCTTTAATTTGCTTAGGTTCAATCAGCTTCTGAGTCCTTTTGTTGCATTTTTTTTCCTTTTCATTATGGATGTTCCAGAATACTTGATTTCCATCTTTTTTTTTGTTTTCATCAGTTGCAGAACTGCACTCCCATAGCAGATGACCAAACAGATTCCTGATTAAGACAGATTTCACCAAACTTAAAAGCTTGTTGATTTTACTCTTCTTCAGGGAAACAGTCCAGATTCTGTGCTCACTAGTGCCATATTTCAAAAACCTTAAGTTCCGTAGGCTGTTATTTCAGGCATTTTCTTTTATATAAAGAAATGCGCTTGTACAAGTCTGACTTTTGGATGCATGTATGTAGCCTCACCCTTGAAGTGCTTCCGTATCTCATTGTGAAGTTAGCCGTATTCATTGACTGATAACAGATAACTTGACAAGTGCGTTTCATTTATACAGGTTTTTTGTTATGATTTTCTTCTCAGAAGTTATCTATTGTCTTTCTTTTGTATTTGGATATGACCCTAGCTTTTAATCTTTCTCCCACATGATTCTGTAGATGTACTGATGAGGGAGGATAAAGGATCTGACCTGCCATCCAGTGGTGTTACTGACAAGATTCCTGTTTGGACTAGTCTTTAATTAGAAAACACAATATACTTTTTTATTGTTTGGATTTGATTCTCTTGGCATTTGTTTACATTAAAAAAAAACCCCAACCCACCCAACGAAAAAACAACACAAATGCTTTATGAAACCTTTTCTAACGTTTTTCTGAAGTGACCACTTTTATCTTACCCCTTTGATACTCTGCAAAATGCAGAAATAGTCACAAATATGGATAGCAGGAGCAATTAAAAATGAGTGAACAATGCTTTGTCCAAGAGGCTTGTGCTTTTTTTGTTGGTTTTTTTTGTTTGATTCCTCTGTCATTTTTGGGTTGACCACATACATGGCTCTGGTAGACTCTCTCCTTTCCAGGACTACATGGCATTAGGGATTTCAAATTCCTTTAAAGGTACGTAATCCTGGTGTCCCTTCCAGGTCCAGTTGTGTGCTGGTTGCAGGTCTGAACAAGATTCAGGTGTGCACCATCCCTCCCCCTCTCCTTTGGCACTCCCTGCCTGGAAGGAAATGCAGGTACATAGGCAGAAAGTGAATTGCAGTGTAAAAAGTGATGATCTGGGAACTGGGAGCATGGAACACATCCTGGAGTGAGCTCCTCCTGCAGTTTTGATGTAGTCACATTGCCCTTTGGGTCTCTAAAAAAGTCCTCATGCAAAGTACATATGAAGTTGTGTTCTTGATTTGTAATGCTGGTTATATTGCAGAGAGTCATACTCAGCTGTGTACATACATGGTAATCAAACCAACTGAATGTGTAAATAAACATGCATTTGCTCCAATGCAGTTTGAAAATTTGTTTTTCCATGCCTCAAATTGTATTTTGAATAATAATTATGATTTGAAGAGGCTGTAAAAGTCTTCAGATAATTTTATGTCTCTTTGAAAGTATAAGAAATATGCATAAATCCTAAAAGGTGATGTGAACGGCAACATATGTTAACCCAAACTACACAGACCCAAAATAATTAGTGTTCCAAAGGGGCAGAGGCCAAATTTTGCCGCAGGCTTTATTCTTCTCCCAGTTTTCAGTGATTGTAGGTTATAGCTAACCATCTCTCAAAAGGGTGTGGTTAACCACAGTGCTGTAATGTGAAAGAAAACTTCAAAGCAGAGAAGATAAGCTATGCAGTTGCCTTAGGCTTGGGAGAGACTGAGCTGAAATAGGATTTGGGCTCAATGTATAAAATACACTCCTAGATTTTAAAACTGCAACCATCAGACCTTGTGGACATCTTACTAAATCATTTAGACTAAAGTGCTGAGTACTTAACAATATATCAAAGCTGATCTTGCTTTGATATATTTTAATGGAGTTTAAAGGGAGACATGACCATTCTTAACACATCTGTATAGAGTAAGAGGTTAAAACATGGAAATACCATCAGTGTCTGTTTCTTTTGGAGTTGTCTACCCTAAAATCTGTAGCTATTTATTTCATAAGGGCATGATCATTTTACTACTGTAGGAGTTCTTCAGCAATGACTTCAGTTACTCTTCATCCTTCCCTTGCAAAAGCAAATTCTCCTAGTGTCTGCTTTTGATGTCAGTGATAGGAAAATTGTAATGCAGTAGACCACTAATGCAAGAAATATGAAATTGGTTTGTATTATCAAAAGTTGGAACTACTAGATAGGAGGTCATTTGACATCACTATTGCCAGAATGATTTTGAATTCTCCTATGTATTTAAAAACAAACCATATGGAGTCTAAATGAATGCAATTTCTAACAAGTTTTGAGTGAGATTTGGTAAGACTCTATTCAGCTACAGTAGAATACATCCAAGTGTACTATAGTTAATAATATTTCTTTTATTTATTTTGTAATATTCAGGGTTGTGATTTGAATGTTTTTTTTGCGATTTGCCATTTTTATGTAAGAGGAAAATCACATCTACTTGAAGATAATCCCAGCATCAGTCCCTTCTCTTCCTCCTAATCATTATACTCTTAGCTTTTCTTCTGCAACATATTGATAATAATAGTTTTAAGAATTGTTTGCAGGAGAATAAGTTTTAGTGTGTCAAAAGAATTGGCTAAACATCATCCAGGCTGGCTGTTTTTTTATAAGTCATTTTTGGAAGGGCTTTTTTGTATTTTGGGGAGTGGTGGTTATGTCTGTTATGGCCATCTTTATATATTGTCTATGCAGCATTACAGTTATCTCTCCATATTGATATCTGATAGAAAAGGGCATATTGGCTACAGAAAAATGGTTCTTTCATCTTAAAAATTGAAAGGAAGGAATAATTTCACCAATTTGAGATTTTTATACCTGAGCTGGTCATCCAGGTTTCCTTTCTGGGATACAGGGAAAACTAGGTTCTTCATAGGCACAACTCAACATAAAATAGACCTCTGAAAAGGGTCAGGTGAGTGGCACCCATGAAGGTCTTCTGACTGTTCAGTCTCTAGAAATAGGGCCGGTTAGTTCAGATGTCAATATCTGAGGCAAAATGAGGCCAAAAAAGGCAAAATGAGTTGTACTGTTGGGGCTGGACTGCTCCAACTGAGTTTAAGACTGATCTCCAATAGTCATGCATGACAGTACATGTTCTAGTGGGCTGCCAGCCATGTCACCTTCTTAAGGCATTTTCTCCACTTCTGAGAAAACTGCAGGAAAATAATACAAGTTTAAACTGGAGATTTTCCAAGGCTGTTAGGGAGCAAATATGCATGTCCTCCAGCCAGCCCACTCAGGAACTTGAGAGAGGGAGTCTGCAAGAGGCCATGGCTCTCTGGGGAGGTTAGATTAGTAGCTGGTATCTAGACACATCTGTTTCTCAGCCCAGCATATATCAAGCCATTTTTCATTGTGAATTAAAAGTAATTCCACAGCAATTTTGCTAACATTAGAGTAGATGACAAGTTTACCAAGTATTTGGAAATATTAATTCTGTTCTCTTTCATTTTGAAAATGATGCAAACTTAATTTAATAGCATTTCAGTCAGCCTATACATAGTACGAGATTTGTGTTGTGTTTAGTGCTCAGTATTAATCTACTGGGTCATAGAAATTTATGTTGATACTTGCAACATGTTTAAATCAGATTGAAATGGGATTCTGTGAGGTTTTAGCAAGAAAATTCTTTTTGGTTGCTCACATGGAATTACCTCAAGCTGGTCTGTTTCCTGGTGGGTTTTGAATCATTGTGTTATAGTAAAAGATTCCGGTCTTTTAGCTGCATGCGATTATAATTTCCACTGAAAGCAAATACTGCTGAGGATGTGAAAGAATATAAAATTCTGTTCAGTAGGTATGCCGATCAGAAAGGGTAGAACAAGGTTATATTTACATTGGCAGTTGTCAGAAAGAACAGATCACTTCAAAGAAGTATGAAGATGAAATTTTACATTATTTGGCAGCTGTACTGTTTTGTTTTTTTTTTCTGGTACAAGTAATCCAGTAAATTTCCATATATAATCTTGAAAATGTTAATAACAGCAAAAAGATCAACATTAATATAATGTTAAGTACAAAGAAACACCTGAAAATAATTTACAGGATATATTCTCATGCTTTCTAAAAACTGGGATTCTGGGGAGGAAGGTGTGAGATATTTAGCTTCTCTGTTTATGGAATTACCTGACAAAGTACTTGAGCATGATTCTTCATTATGCTAATTTCCCTGTCTGCTATTCTGTAGCCATATGCTACAGCTAACAGATGAACTAATTAAAGTTCTTAATAAAAGGTAAGTCCTGGTACTGTAAAAAAACAAAACTAAAACTGCAGTGCAACTGAAAATGCTTTTGTTTGGGTATGTTTCATGCCTTGTGAATAACTTCAGATATTTGTACTTTAATTACTAAATTAAATGCTTTTAAGATATGTAACACCTTGAGAAAATACATTGTTTTTTCTGTCTCTGCCAGACCTGAGTCTCAGCAGATAAGGATTTAGGTACCTGCTCAATCACTGATTTATTCCAGTCATTTGGAAATGACTGAGTCTATGGTTACATTGCTTTAAAATGGGTATATTTCCCTGCTTAAGCAAAATTGTAATGACAAAAATCAGTTAACAGCCTTGAAACCTGTCAATTCTGTGATAATATGTAACAGGTAGCTGGAGGAAATTAAATAATCCCTATACATTATAATTACATTTATTTCTTGACAAAGAAATATGATATCAGTTTCTGTCTTCTGTGGCATTAAAAGTTAGCTAGTGGTAAGTGTTGTTGTTATTGTCAAAGCTTTCAAGGTCACAGTATTCTTGCTAAGAGTGTTGTCTTGGTTTTGTAGGTATGCTTCAGAAATTGCCTTCAGTTGAAGATTTTGTGGATGCTCTTGTTTCAGACTTAGACCAGGACTTCGAAACATTTATCACAGACTCATAAAAATGTTCAACAGAACTGAATTCTTTTATGGAAGATTGCATATGTCTTTGTAATTATGGATAAAATGCCGTTGTGACTTGTTCTGCTTCCTGGTGAACACTTGTAAAAGTTTGAATATTCGTGTTGGTGGAACAATAATAAATAATTTCTTTTAATCACCTGGTTTCATTTATGAAGATGATGGCTTTCTGTTGCATAGGAATTTGAGAGAACAAGTCCTCTAACATGTACTGTTAAAAAATTTGGTCTTGTTGAAAGAGCTGATTAAATGGGAATTGAACTCATCCTCAGGGTGAGTGGAGTGGTATGAATGGTCTTTTGGTACGCACATTGCATTCAGTATTAGGACATACGTGTTGAGTGTCATTACCCATCAACTGGGTCCTTCTGTCCTTTTATCTGTTATTTGGGTGTGTTTGTTTTATTGTGTAGGGGTTGTTCAGTTTTGCCCACTTTACCTTAAGGGCTTTACTGGATGAAGTCTATCGTGTTTCAGTGAATATGGATTTGCAGGCGTTTTGGTGATTCCATTGCAGAGAACAATTACTATGGAAATGTGTTGGCAATGTTGCTGCATAGGTATGGCCTGAATCTGGTCCCTGCATGTTTGTTCACATGGAGTTTCCTTTTAATAATGGATGAGTGCTAGGGAACTGTTTAAAGTATAGAAGGACAGGTGTTGGGGGAGAGAAGTTCATTCAAAACAAAGATGTTTTTCCAGGATAGGCTGAAGCAGTTTAAGGTTGCACACTATATAGTGGGTGATGAACAACAGAAATACTATCAGTAGGGTTTTATTTTTCTCTTGAGGTAAATTATGAAATGGTATTTGAGTGCCTATTAAAAAAAAAAAAGTTATTAATTTTTTCTCTAGAAATGGCCTTGTCTTTTAGGGGTCCTCTGTAGGTTGTTACAGCAGAAAGGCAGCGAAAGAAGCATGAGAGGAAGAGAAACAAGGCTGAGAGATGAGGGAAAATAGGTGAGAGAGAAGCAAGTGAAGAATAAAGATAAAAAAGCTCAACCAGAAAAAAGTGGATATTTGGGAAGGCATAAATAAGAGAGATGAATGAATTATTTGTCCCTGTTTTTTAGCAGAATTGGTGCTATTTGGTATCATTTTCTATTTTACCCTGTTTTTTCAGTTTGACTGGTTTTACATGGTGGGATTGTGTCTTGTACTAATAGCACTGCCATTCTGTTAGAACTGGGTTTTGACGTTTTTAGATATGAAATATTTTGATTAAAGAATAGCAGGCATATTTTCAGACACGCACCACAACAAGGCTTCTGTGTTGTACATCTGACTGACTGTATTCTGTATCTGCAGTTGATCCCTATGAGGAAAGAATGAATGGTTTCACTTAACAAATTAGGTGGGTATTCTGCTGTAAGTTAAATGATTAAAAAACCCACAAAAAATAAACAAATGTAAATTTAGGTGTGAGTAAAAGCACACTGTGAAGATAGGAAGTTCTCAAGAGGATACAGTAGCTCATGAATGTAAATTTATCAATCCCTCGTAAAGTATTTAATGGAAGTGTGTTTTTAAAAGGGAGTTTAAGAGTGTTGCTAAGGGAGCCTTGTGTTGTTGCCTGGTTTTTGTACTGGAGCAAACTACTAATAATGTTTATCTGGAGTTGGCACATGTTGAAAGATCCATTGCGACAAAAAGAACTTAGCAAAAGGAAATCCTAGTGCTGAGACAGCCCTGGGAGCACTATGGTAAAGAAAATAAAGCATAATAATTGGCAGAATAAGCAGAGCATTTAAAATTAAGAGATTGCCCCTAGATTTTAATTTGAAAGAAATTAAAATGATGTTAGTTCTAGAGCATAGATACTTTACAAAAATATATGTAGTAGTCACACTGTTTTATGCCCATGGCTGCTATTACTTCCTTAATTCACTGTCTCATTTGATCCTTCTGTAAACAACAGTCTTTTCAAGTTCTTATCAGCAGTGTCAGACAACATCTTCCTAATACTGAAATCAGATATAGACAAAGAAAGGAAGAAAATCTTGTCTTTTGCCAGAGCACTGTGGCAGTGGACTGTAGCTTGTCGCAGATTCATAGCTCTTGGGACATTTGACAAAGATGGGAGCTGGTATTAAAATAAATGTAACTCAGAACGACAGCTTCAGGTTTTTTGTGAAGAAACTCTGTTGACTCCACTAATTTTTGTTTTATGAAATAACCTTTGAAGATTGAACAGTAGATGTGTTTAAGCCCCTTGGGAACGTATTGTATCACCCCTGTGATGCTTACTACAGAAAGGGAAATATTATTATAATTTTTTTTAACCTCTTTTTTGGTAGTTTCTAAAAATGCTTCCAGCTGTTCAAATGTCTGATGCTTTTTCCTTTCTTTTTTTCTTTTTTGAAAGACTTTTATTTTCCAGCAAATATGTGTACTCTCAGTAATGTGAGACCTCTCTTGTGACCAGCAGTGTAACTCTTCATAAATGTAAAAACCACTGTAATCCTTTTCCAGCATTCCATACTTTCCCACTGGGCCAGCTGAAACAGCTAGCCAAAAGTTGGTTTTATAAGACTGTAACTCAGCATTATGCTTTTAAACTGAAATTGTACTATGTTTTGGATTTTAGCTGCTATAGAAAATAAGTAGTGAACATCTTCAGAAGAAATTATACCCTTATGTAATCCTGAAATAATAACACATAATTAAGACACATCAGAAAAACACATGTGGATTATGTTTGATAGTCTGAGGTGTCAGCTCTGCTTTTTTTTTCATGTTTGATGTGATGATTTTTCTGATTTACTTAAGATAGACTGAAATATTGCTTAATAATTGCTTTCTGGTGACATAAATGCAGCTGGTGCTGCATGGAGTTCTCTAAATGCCTTATGAATAAAGATAACTGGAGCAGAGGGCAGCAGTTAAGGGAAGAAGGCAGGGAAGAGAAGGGAAATAGGGCAAGGAAGAATTTAATATAGATTAGAAACCAGGCATGAAAAAAGGTTGATACAGAACCAAAATGACCTCTGAGTTAAAAGCTTGGAGAGAGTAAAAGAAGATTTTCTTTCCAAAGCAGTAACTCTAAAATGGGAATTACAGCAGTGTCAGTAACAGAAAAGGCAGAAGGGTGCAAAAATATTTCTGCTTTGTCTTCAGTGGAAAGCCAGATAGAAGAATTCATATCATATGTTGATAAAATCCTTTCTACAGATGTTAGCAGCTTGTACAGTGGGTCAGACTTAAATCAGTGTGCAAAAATGAAAAAATTAATATATAAACGTAATGGAGCTTAATATCATAGATGATACTAAGATGGAAATTAAGAGAATCGATGATTGTAACACAATATAGATGGCTCAGAAAAATATGCATTTCAGTTTATCAGAAGATTATAATATCTTAATTGTGATACAGAAGCAGAAATTGGGAAGATTGAATGCCGGTCTGAAACAAGTGTTTAACAAGAGCCAGTAGCTGAAAGTTGAAATTAGACAAATTTGTCCCTAATTTTTAGTTTATTTTTTGGACAACTGAGCACTGGAAAACGCGTGAAGGGCAGTGCTGGGGTTGGCGGATCCGCACTAGAAATGTACATCAAAACTGGACTATTTTGTCAAAAATATGCCCTAGTTCAGAGTCATTCAGAGGAGCCCTGTGGCCTTAGTTACACTAGGGGACAGCAGTCTTTTCTGGCCTTATGAGCTATAAATGAAGAGGAGAGTGTCTTTGGAAATAAGTTTTGCCACAAGGGTGGAAAGTCCATGCTGGCTGGGTAACTGTCCTGCTGAGGGCTTCACGGCTGGGGAGAGTTCCTGAGTGGAGAGCTGGAAAAGCGGTGTGAGCGAAAGGGCCTCCTCTGCTTGCTGTTAAGTGGGAGGCACTGTGTATCTGCTATCGGAGATTGCTTCTGGGCAAAGTATTGGAGAGTTTCTGTTCCCAGAGCCAGGGATTTATTTACGTGCTGTTGGGAACAAGTTCAAGTGAGTGCTTTACCCTGGCAGGTTTGCAGTATCCCAAAAAGGGAGTATTACATTAAAATTAGAAGACTTAACTTGAGAATTGAAAATGCATGATTGCAGAAAGTGAACACATGGATTTCCCTGGGAGAAGGACCGTGGGAGATCAACTAGTGTGCTCGGGGAGGAGATAAAAGATAAGGAAGTATAAATCAACACCAGCAGGACTGCCTGTCGGCCCTTCTGATCTTCCCTGGGCTGAGATTTGTTTACCTTTTAAGTCCGCTGCAGCTGTTCTTCAACAGCTGGCTCTTTAAACGGAGTGCCACGGTATGCTGGAGCTGCACAGTTGTAGGAAATCGTTTCGGCTTGTTGTTCAGAGGAAGTATCCAAAAAACCTGTTAAAGACAAAATACTTAAACCAGAAGCAAAGCGCCAATAAAGATCTGACAGGATGACTCGGTGGTGTTCTGCTGGTGTGTAGATTTAAAAACAGAGGAAAGGTAGAGGGACGCCTCTTGCCAAGCAGTTGCCTGTGAGCCTGTAGCCTCTAAGGCAACTTGTAGATAGCTAAAGCTTGCAATTCCAGCTGCCTTCACGCTTGATGAGAAGAAACAGATGCCTTCAAAATGGGATATATCCTACCTGCTTTAGGGTGGGATGAACCAGCTCTTGCACATTCCTTTTGTTGCTCCAGTAACTGTGGAGAGAGCACAGATGGCTGGAATAAAGTGTTGGGAATCCTGTTTTAAATTCAGAACACCTCAAAGCACCAAACTTACTTTTTTTTAATGTTATTTTTCAATTATCAGATTCCACCATCATTTGTTTTTACTGCCTGTCATATATGACAGTTATACATTAATGACAGTTACAGAAGATGCTTTTGAATAATCTTCAGGACAGCTAGGGTTTTATGAACTGGCTTTTGGCAGTTGTCCCTCTGACTCCTTACAGCCCCCTCACTTTACTCCTTAGACACCTCCAAATGCCCACCTTTCCCCTCTTATAGCTGCAGTGTGGCAGGACCCAAGGGGGTAGGAGGCGGCAAGGGGTGATTTGGGCTGTGACTCTGACCTGGTAGTTGTGATCATGTCAGAGGAAAAGCAAAATGGCAGCACAGTATGTCCTTTACATCCTGCCCACAGCTGCTACTGGAACATGCCTGTAGTAGCCTGAAGCCGATCTCACGCTTGAACAGCAATTGTCACCGACCTTCCCTGTGCTGCAGGAGATGAGTGTTGGGAGAGCTGGGCTCTGGAGAAATGCCCCAAATGTGACTGGCGGAGAAGGTGAAGCGTTGCCAAGATGGGGTAAGTTGGGATGGATGAGCCCCTTTAGGTTGCACACCACGAGACAGCAGCTCTCAGTACAGTGCAGGCAGCTGCACCTCATGAATAATAATAATTTGTCGAGTAGGTGTTTGAACATTAGCTTGTCCCTTGGACACGGTCAGAAGCCTGTGTTTGGCTGATGTGTGCAGCAGTGCTTAATGTAAGAGTTGGGCAAGCTCATTGAGCTCCTCTAGCATACTCACAACACATTAGCAGGGCAGTTGTTAAAAACAGTTTATTACCGATACTCTTCAGAAGTAGTCACAAGGTCTCAATCATTATCTACAAAATGCATATGAAAGAAAAAAATGCTTATAAAGTCAGATAGGATTGCTGGTGTCACGTAGTGCCCACTCTTACCAACTCCGCTCTTCTTTCTCATGAAGGTGGAACCCAGTGAACTCACTGCAGCCCTCTGTACAGAGCCAAATCCTCATCCCGGATAAACTTCCATAGCTCAA